CCCGATTTGTAACCACTTCGCTACCAGAGCTCCTTAAATGTCTGAGTTGTTGTTGTTAAGTACTGTGGAGTTGGTTCCAACTCATAGTGACCCTGCACAGGGTTTCCAAGGCTATAAATCTTTATGGGAGCAGAACGCCTCATCTTTCTTCCGCAGAACCGCTGGTAGTGTCAAACTGCCGACCTTGAGGTTAGCAGTCCGATTCATAGCCACTGCGCTACCAGAGCCTTAAAATCCTTTTTTGGAGTAAGATAGGGTAGGTTGATTTCAGGAGATTTTAAAAGAAAGACGATTTGACAAAGAACAAGTCTAAATGAAGTTAGGGTCCATCATCCAGAGTCTTCTTTTTGTTATTAATTATTACCTCACAGATTGCTTGACAGACTTAGATTGTATTTTATAGCCTGGAGAGCACGTTGGGGTCTGCCTTCCAAATTGAATACCATAATCACAATGTACAGCAGGTACCAGGCTGTAGAACTACGGACAGGTCCTTATCACAAGGAACCAGGCTTAATGATCTCCCCACTCCCCAGGCCAGGACATTTGTGGGGCTAACCTGGATGTAGATTGATTCTCACTCCTTTGTACCTAGATAGTCAACATGCAAACATCTTGACTTACCCCAACATAAGGATGTTATCTTACAAGGTAACTTACCAAGAAGAAGTTACATGGTAGAAGACAGAAGAGAGACTGGAAAGGGATAGATTATATAGACATATACACGCCCAAACTGATGTGGGCAAAGTACTTTCAAATGAAAACCCCTTCAGCCCTTCACTTACCCCATAGACTAGCTCACAATAAAATGCTCCCTCTCCTGTCTCACAAGCAGTTTGCTGTCATTTATAATTTCTGAAGACCTACCCACTGTTGTTGTTAAGTGCTGTTGAGTCGATTCCGACCCACAGTGACCCTGTATAGGGTTTCCAAGAAGCAGCTGGTGAGCTTGAACCACCGACCTTACAGTTCAAATGACTATGCAGCCTGAGGCATTAACCCACAGCACCACACCAGGACCTACCCACTACACATCAGGAAATGCTCTTGGAGATTAACACTGGCGAAGTGAAACTGAAGCTTAAGGTTTTTGCTTTCATGCACAATGAACATAGGTATATGTCCATAAATTAGGGCAACCTCAGCTTTCATTCCTGTTTTCATCTACATTTATCTTCTACTCATTACTGGAAGGAGCTGTAGAGATCAGCAGGAACATGGAGGAGAGTGAGGCAGCTCAAAAGGAGTCTGGAGGCATGTGCTCTGATTGGTGACCATGTTGGTCATCAATAAGAGGAAGTGAGGGAAAAACAGCAATGAAGCTGCGAGCAATGTCCAACCACGTTCAATACATTCCTGTGAACCCAGGTGGAGACCTGGTTGGCCAGCAGTATGGCAAGACCTGGGGAGTCCTGGGCCCAGAGTCAGTGACATAGCCACAGAGGACTGGAGTGGAGAGTGAAGCGTCCAGCTGATAAGAAGAGAGGGCATATGCACAAGAACACCCACACCTGCAGATGATAACCACTTGACCTGGCTTTGATGGCTGGATGACCAGATCTCAACTCGAAGAAAGAAGAAGAAAAAAAGAGTAATCTGATACAATTTGATGGACTTGACCTACACCTATAGATGCAGTAGCTCAAAAGAGGGAGCAAATCTTTACAGTGAGGATCATTCCCACCCCCTCAACACACAGGGTAGACTGGGATGGGCAACTTGGACACTGGCTACCTAAAATGGGGGGCTACAAAGGCAAGAAATGACTGGCTTACAAGCTTTCAAAGGGGGAGCCTAGATCCAGAGGGTGCGGAGGAAGGTAGAATCTCCACTGAGTAGTATCCAATCTGTCTGGGCGGGACTGATGAAAGGAGATGTGGATAGCGCTCATGTGGTACAACAGTGATTAACTACTATCAGGACTGACTGTGAGGGTTGGAAATGTAAAGGTAGACATTTTGTAGCAAAAGGAGGGGTGTGGTTGACTTTGTAGCCCAGGAGCAGAGGTCCCTGGGACCATCAAGGGAGAAGAGCAGAGAGCGGGTTAAGAGTTGGGTAGTTACTATTGTAAAAAGTGAAGAAAAGGTTTTCAAACAAAAAAAAAAACATTTGAGGGTTACCAGGGTGGGAGCGGGGGAACATGGTAGTACTGCTGAATCAACACTGGATTGCGAACCAAAGGTCAGCGGTTCAAACCTACCAGCTGCTTCTTGGAAACCCTATACAGGGTCACTATGAGTCAGAATTCACTTGATGACAGTTAACAACAACAAGAAAAAAACCCCAACAACATTGGAGTCCTGGTGTGGCATTGCAGGGTAAGCACTGGATTGCTTAATACAAGGTTGGTGACTGAAACTCACTAGCCGCTCCTTGGAAATCCTATGAGTTGGAATTGACTTGATGGCACTTAACATCAACAATAACAGTGATCTATGGATAGGTACATGGGCAGAAACTCAAGCTGATTGGGTATAGGAGGGAGAGTGGGACTATATAAACAGGTGCAGGAGGGAGAGTGGGAATATATGAGTATATATATAGTGCTGGTGAGGCGCTGTGGTTTAATGCGCCAGACTGCAAAGCCATTTCAACTGCAAGGTTAAGTGCTGTCGAGTCGATCCCGACCCATAGCGATCCTGTGTAGGGTTTCCGAAGAATAGCTGGTGACAGCACTTAACAACAATATAATATTCAGCCTGAGTGCCTATCTATGCATGGGTTTGACTGTGGATATCTGGACATGAATATTTACCTTTGTTGCAAACACATCCATGAATGTGGAACATACAGGGGTCAAAGCTTTGATACCAAATACCGTGAAGGAATTTGTCTTTGAGCCTGGGAGATCAAGACCATGATGTTGGGGGACACTATGGTCAATTGGCATAACATAGTCCACAAAGACAATGCTCTTCATTGTGTTTTGGTGGGTAACGACGGGGGTCTTAAAAGCTCAAGAGTAGCCATTTAAGGTCTCTTCCTGCCTGAGGAAAGAAGAATGATGAAAATCAAAAACACATGGAAACAATAAGTCCAATGGATTGATGGACCACAAGAACCTCAGCCTCCATGACCATGAAACCACAAGAACTAGATGGTGCTTGGCTGCCACTACTAACTGCTCTAAAAGGGATCACATTAGAAGGTCTTGGATAGAGTGGGAGAAAAATGTGGAACAAAACTTGAAATCCTAAGAAAGCAGGCTTTCTCTGGTCAGAGATTGATGGAACCCCTAGACTATGGCCCTTGGTCACTCTTCAGGTCTGGAAGTGAACTCACCCAGTGGCTCAATTCCCAACCAAGCAAGAGATACTTATGTGGGGAGACAAACACACTTCTACTAAGGTATGCACACCATAGATTGGTCAACCACTCAATATAAAAAAGGCAGCATTTCCCCTAGGACAAAACGCAGAGGGTTAGAAGGGGAGGAGGAATGGAAACAAGAAACACAGGGAGTAAGTGATGTTACATTGAGGGGATTGTGATGTTACATTGAGGGATTGCAATCACTGAAATGAAAGGAAGTATATAATTTGTCCAATGTTAAATTGATGATGTGTTCTGTAAACCTTCACTCAATTCACAAAGTTAAAAAAAAAAAAAAATGTTGGGATATTAACTGCAGTCAGTGGTTCAAATCCACCAACTGTTCCACAAGAGGAAGATGAAGCTGTCTACTTCCATAAAGATGTCTAGGAAACCCTAGGGATCTCAAAGGAGTGAGCTCTGGTGGTGCAGTGGTTGGGCTTGGCTGATAACTGAAAGGTCTGCAGCTCTCAGCAGGAATAGGAAGGGGAGAGAAGTGGTTCAAAGGCACCTTGGTGCATAGTTAGGTCCTCAGCTGCTAAATGAAAGATCAACAGTTCAAACCCACCAGGTAGGTACTCTGTGGGAGAAAGATGGGGCTCCTTGGAAATCCTATACAGGGTCGCTACGTGTCACAACTGACTCTACAGCATATAACAATTTCAAAGGAAAAGGCGATCCTCTCCTGGGCCCTGATCGAAGGGAACATCACCCAGGATGAGGGAAGGAGGGAGCGAGCCGTCAGGGAGGGCGATCCTAGGGGGATGCTCAGTTTAGTGCGGTTAGGGCTGTAGAGGCATTCCGGGATCCAGGTCAAAACTAAAACAGCTACTCAGCTTTTCTCCACAAGAAAACCACAGCTCCCTCTAGTCTCACTGCAAAGTAGATACAAGGAGCTAGACAGAAGCAGGGAAGCCCTTAGCCTGGCAGCAGTCAGAGCAGCCGGCATCAGGGCTACAGCCCCCAGGGAAAGTGCCTGGGTGCAGGGCTCAGCTCCCATCAATTCCAAGGGAAACAAAACCCCAACTTCTGTAGCAGTCCTACTAACGCGGTAGCCGACCAAAGTGTTGGTTAAAGAAAGTCCGTGCTGAACGCGAGGGCGGGATGGGTCCGCCTCCCCAAGGTGTGCTCAGTGGCCCCTTCCACCGAGGGGAGGTCACCCTTCTGCAACACACCCGGCGCTCATCCGCCCCGCCGCGGATCAGCATTGAACCGACTTCCTATGGCTAGGGGATGCCGGCCCCCAGAGCAGCGTTCCGTCCCGGGTTTGAGTCCACCCGCTGGGGGCACTGTCACCGCACCCAGGCCTGGGCGGGGTCATACCATAGCCTTGCAGATGGCAGTCCTCGCCCCGCCACGGAAAGGCCACAAAGGGGACCGTGACCCGATAGCAAACAGCAGACCGTTGGAGACCGAGGGCCGGCCGCGGACCCAGGTGCGCAGCGGTTGAGGGCTCAGCGGATGCTCCAGGCTCTCACGGACCGCATCTCCGCCAACCCGAAGCACGTGCCAGGTCTAGCCGGCCTCCCCGCACGGAGGACAAAGTCCGCTCCCGCAGTCACCGCGGCTCTTTGCTCCGGGCACCGGGATATAAGGCGGCCCGGGCCTGCGCGCAACCCTGACCCGACTCGGGACCCAAAGCCGCCGCCGGGCTCAGCCTCCCCGCGACCCCCGCGCGCACTCACCATTGTGGTTGACCCAGGTCGGCTTCAAGAGCTTCATTGTTCGGCCGCCGCCGCCGTTGCCGCCTGGCTAAGGCGAGAGCCGCTTCTCTCAGCGCGCCCGGGCCATGGAGCCGCTGCCTCTTCCTCCCGCGCCGCCCGCCCTTTGGCCGCCGCCCGCCCAGTGCCCTCA